CTTGACTAAGCAGTTCCTTAGTCCAAAGATTTAAATAAATAAATAAAAACATGTATAGCTTGCTTATTCTTATGCCTTTCCCCCAAACAAATAGTTAAAGCATTAAAAGTGGGGCCGTGAGGACTCACAAGTTTGCTGATGAATATCCAGAGGTTGACCCTAGAAGTTGTCAATGCTCGCCCGATCTTCCTAGACAGACCAACAACCAACGCTAAAATCACTTAAGGTTTCTTGCCCAAGCTAAAGTAGAGTTACTTTCCATGCAATGCCATCAAGTTTTTATAAATTAAAGTTAATATTTTATTATTTTACCTTTTTTTTAAAAAGAACCTTCCAAAATCCTCATTATGACAACATTTTTACATCATCCAAAACAATGATGACAGCCGCCAATTTCAAATATCAAGAATTTTTGATTGGGCTTGAGTCTCTTCATAAATACCCTACAATCTTGAGTTACACGCCCCCAAAACAGATTGCATGCTCCAAGAATGACAGCAAATATGGGGGCTCAAACTCATCATTTTTCAAGAATTTAAACTCTAATTTTTTTAGCCATCATCCTCGATCAACTTCCAGAAAATATTTTCCGATTTCATTACATTCTTGAAGATAATAAAACTGATTTTGAGATGCATGCAAGGTTCAGCTATGCTTCAAAACATAACGTTTGATGATCCAATTCCGCATGTAGTGGAAATCTCTTCTACTTCCTTAGAGATTAAAGAATATGGATCATTGATTATCATCCTATGAAGACATTTTCATGTCTTTGATGCATAATCTCTCCTCTTTAACTCTCTCGAACTTTCTAAAAGATCGAATAGGGGAAGTAGATGAGTGAAAACGTTTGGAATTCTGTAAAGTGGGTTAACCAGAATCATACCTTCTTCTTATAGCCTTGATTGTTCTTCAGCGTTTGACAGAAATACCCTGAAGATTTTGCTTAAAGGAAATCGGCTGGAAGGTGGATGATTTTAGAGAGAGAGGGATACAGTTTAACAAGATCAAGAGAGTTGGAAATGAGAGTTTTCAAAAGATGTGGGGTATTTATATAGGGATTTTATTGAGGGAAATGGGCTGGTCTTTAAAGGCCTAACCCAACAAAACTTTTTTTAAGTAAGATTTAAACCTACTTAAATTTTCCCCACATAGATGAAATAACACAAATAGCTCCAAACTCCAACTTTTGATAAGACAAGTGGACATTCAAATGGAACTTTTGCAGAATTTAAATTAAGGAAAACTCAAAACATCAACTTTATTTTTATCTGACGTATTTTCAAAAATATTTGGCATTGCATAAGATAACTTAATTTGATTTCCTACCAAAACGCGACCTTCCCAACAAAATTTAAGAGTTAATACCAGAATGGTTCTAATCACTTAAGCCTAGATCCTAGAGAAATATAAATTCTAATATAGGATCTGTAATGGGATGCTAACCTGAAGCTCAGAAGTGACGGGATGTCACAGTCTCCCCATGTCAGAGAAATTTAGCCCCGAAATTTATTTGTCTATCCCAAATCAAGACTTGCTGGAGAACAATTGGGGATATTTGCTTTTCATGAAATCTTCTCTTTCCCACGTGTACTCCGGTCCATGTCTCGAAGTCCAATGAACTTTTACAATTGGGATTTTACTACGTCTCAATTGCTTGATCTTATGGTCGAGGATTTCAATCGGTTCTTCAATGAAACGTAACCGTTCATTGATTTGAATGTCTTCCAAAGGTAGAACCAATGTTTCGTCGGCTAAACATTTCTTAAGGTTTGGTACATGAAATGTATCATGGATGGCACTCAGCTCTGGGGGTAAGCTTAGTTTGTATGCAACCGGTCCCACTCTTTCAAGTATTTCAAATGGTCCAACATATCTTGGGCTAAGCTTTCCTTTCTTTCCGAAGCGTACAATCCCTTTCCATGGAGATACCTTTAAAAGGACTTTATCACCCACTTGAAATTCCAAGGGTTTCCTTCGGTTATCGGCATAGCTCTTCTGACGATCCCTTGCAGCTTTAAGTTTTTCTTGGATGATTGCGATTTTGTCGGTTGTCTCCTGGATAATGTCAGGCCTGGTCAGTTGCCTATCGCCAATTTCCTGCCAACTAAGTGGGGATCTACATTTTCGTCCATACAAGGCTTCAAAAGGTGCACATTGGATACAAGTGTAAT